CTACTACTACTACTACGACTACGACTACGACTACTACGACTACGACTACGACTACGACTACGACTACGACTACGACGACGGCTACGACTACGACTACTACTACTACTACGACTACTACTACGACTACGACGACGACTACCACGACTACGACGACGACGACGACTACGACGACTGCACTACACCACGATAGACTTTTTCCCTGCTTCTGCCACTGCCACTGCAACAACCACCGCCAATGCCACCGCCACCCACCACCGCCACCGCCACCGCCACCGCCACTGCCACCGCCACCGCCTCCACCACAAGCCAGTGTACAGAAGGCCTGGCAAGCGTAACTTCTGAGCGAGGCTGGCTAATAGCGGAGTTCTTGGCGACCTGCTGCCCTCTGAGGAGGCGCACAAATGTCAAGTCTTCATGGGGCTGGGGTTGCGAAGCCCCCGGTCCGTATTGTCGGTGTTGAGATGTCGGAGTCTGGGAATTCGGCGCAAGATCACAAGCCCCGAGAGGCAGAGCTCAAGCCTCAGAGCCTTCCAAGGAGAAGCATGGTTGTAATATAGGGGCCTAAATAATTACCTATATTGTTTTGGGGGGGGTTCCTTATTATAATTACAGTATAATGGGCCCCAAAACCCTATTCTACTTATTAAGGCCCCTACATTATGTACTTCAAAATGGCACACATAGCCCTACTTACTCAGCCTCCTGATCGCTGAAGTGCAGCAGATCGTTTCCACAAGCCAGGATACCTTGGATCTCACGGCTGTCACCATGCGCCACCGCCGCACGGTGGCATTAAGATGATCGCCACTGCATTTGTTGGCCCGTTGGTGCCGACCCCTAAGCCCTAAACCCTAAACCCTAAACCCCTAAACCCCTAAACCCCTAAACCCTAAACCCCTAAATTATCACTGTTCCTTCCTTCTCGTTCCGCATGTTGAGCTGAGGCCAGAGGACCAAGGCGTCTAGAGCCTAGAAATGAAGCAACATTATTATTGTTACTATTATTATTCTTATTATTACTATTATGACTATTATTAGTATTACTACTACTGTTACTTATCTCTCTTTCAATTTTCAATCGAAGGGAGACGGATTGGCCCCGAACTGAGCCGTGAAGAATCCCACGGGTCTTGTACAGGTAGAAATCGATCTCGTATGTTTTTCCACAAACAGGGCTTCTGTTCAGGGGGTGTGGTTGGGGCTTCAAGAACCCTAAACCCTAAACCCTAAACCCTAAACCCTAAACCTTCAAACCATGCCGATGTGGACTTGTGGGATCCCGTGCGTGACTTGCTATAGAAGTAGAACAAGTCGAGCCCCGAACCTCAGCCCTACAGGGTTTAGGGTCTAGGGTTTACCCTGGCGGCACAAACGCCTAAAGCCGCAGAGCCCTCAACCCTGAAGCCTGAATTCTGAGCCCTAAACCCCCAAAAGCCCCTAAAGCCCATAGACCCCTAAACACCCTAAACCCCCCCAGACCCCCCCCAAAAGCCACCTGAATCCGTAAACCTCTCAAAGTCCCTACACCCTAAGTCCCCAAGTCCCGAAGTCCCTAAACCCCTATACCCTAAACCCTAAACCCCAGAACCACCCTAAACCCTAAGTCCCTAAACCCCTAAACATCCTAAACCCTAAACCCTAAACCCCAAAACCCGAAAACCCGAAGCTGCCCTAAACCCTACGACCAAAGGCCCCGATGTGATGCAGAACAGCGAAGATCTGGCCATGGCTTTGGGCTCCAGGCCCGATGCGCCCAGCGATTTTGGGGGGTTTGTTTTTAGGTTTCTTAAGGTTTAGGGACTTAGGGACTTTGGATTTAGGGTGTTGGGGTTTAGGGACTTGGGGACTTTGGGTGTTTAGGGGTTTAGGGACTAAGGGACTTAGGGACTTTGGGACTTTGGATTTAGGGTGTTGGGGTTTAGGGACTTGGGGACTTTGGGTTTTTAGGGGTTTAGGGACTAAGGGACTTAGGGACTTTGGGCTTAGGGTTTAGGGTTTGAAGGTTTCGGGACTTTGGGATTCAGAGGCTGAGGTTGGGGGGTTTGGGGGTGTAGGGGTCTTGGGTTTTCTTGGGTTTATAGGGTTTGGGGTTGTAGG